GGAATATGTATATTTATAGTATGTACAAAATGGTAACCGAGGTGCACACGGCGAGCTCTGTCGTTGGGGTGAGCCCAGATGTAGGTCTTCTGACTGATGGAGTGTGGCACGAAGTCGAGCTGACAAGGCGACCTGGTTCTGCAGGTGGAGAGCTTTTTGTTTCTTGAAGTGCAGTCGAAGCAGAAATTGCGTTGCACTTTGCAGAGTTCGGGGCTCTGCTTTTAAACGTTTGCGGCCAGGGACGCTACGCTTTCATCCCTTGGCCGTTTTGACCAATGGGAGCCAAGCACATTTTAGTTTGCTGCCGGACGTGAAACATTTTCTTACCCATTCTTTAAGAACGGTAGGGTCTTTGGGAAACGTAAAAACTGAGATTTTATTTACACCAGGATGAGGAATTTTAGTGTTACCGCCACTCATCTAAAAAAAATACCTAATTATAACATACAAAAGTGCATATAATTGATGAACTAACCTTTCAATCACGGTTATGAAAATCCACAAAAATCACAAACTAAATGTCTTTATATTGCACCAAACATCTACAGCTAATGTCCTTATGCACTTCAAAATTCAACAAATTTTAAACAAATAAACTATAACTCAAGAAAAATAAGCACCCGGCGCGCGACTACAAACAACGTTGAACGTCAATGTCTGAATTCTCGATGACGTATACATTCCGTCCCTCCCGCTTCCGCCCACATAGTTACCAGGTAACCTTTGAAATAATATAACCTTGAAATATCATTACCTTTTTCTTGTTCATGCAAAAATCACGAAGGCATCGATGCCCCAACAATTGAAGCAACAATTGAATCTCCACAACTGTCCCTCCAAAGGAAGGCGCAGTAACGAAAACCTCGAAACCCCTAACGGAGCGAGATACCAACTTAAAGTAAAATGTTTCAGAAGTGAATTCCTCGAGGTGCTCGCCGAATATTTACCAGAATTGGTCATGGTGTACCTGGATGGCATAATGGGTCTACTCTCACCCCTGGGAGGAGCATCTCAGACACCTGCACCTCGTCCTGGATCGTCTAAAACGCCACCAACTGCGCCTGTCCATCGAAAAATGGCGTTTCGAAGCCTTGCAATACCTTGGCCACACTGTCACTGCAGAAGGAAGCCACTCGAAGGAGAGACGCCAATCCCAAACAACGCGCAGTAACGTAACCACCTCAACGAGCGGGACTCGTAAGAGACCTGTACAGCATATGGATGGAAGCCACTCGGGAAGCCATACGTTTCGTCACCACCGACATCGGGGTCAACAGGCTGGAAAACTGCTGGTAACTTTGACCCGTGTGGCGCAGTTCAGTTAAAGCTGAACTGTGGTGCTAAGGGTCCCTGGTTCGAATCCGGGTTCCGGCATGGATATTTGTAAATGTAAATGTAAATTCCCCAAACGTAGTACAACTTTCCTACAATTGTAACTACCGTTACAATATGCCGCCCAAAAGGGGGCCTTTAGGCGAGGTTACAATTGTTTACTGCAATACTTTAGTTATTACTATTTTTCTTTATATCTATCGCAAATATACGGTGCTTAATTCATTACAGGCAACCAAATATGGCCCAGATAGTAAATATACCAGCACAGTCGACTTCCATTACCTGAAGACAATTAAATGTTTCATTCAGGCATTTAATACGACGTCTAGACTGATGCTCTATTTGTGTATTATCTCAAAATGCGATCGATTCACATGAAAATAATTGTTGGGTCTATAGTTGCACAGCCTGCACCTTAAAATACGGCAACCCAAATGAACTTCGGTCACGCGAGCTACAGGAAACTTTGTTCACGTAATTCAAATTCATAAAAATGGGAGCGTAAAGTGGATAACTGGAAGAGCTTTTCATTGTATTGCGTATGACGAGGTAATTAATAATGTGTTGAAGAGAAAGCAGTACACAAATTTAACTGGCAAATGGCCGGCAAATGTACAACCATAAATCCTGATAATTTACTTATAGATCTAGAAGAATAGACAACAATTTTTTGTTAATACGATTATATAAATGCTATGTAATCATATAAATTCTACCTAAAAAAAAACTCGCCCGTGCCCATTCAAATTCGCCGCTGTGCAACGTTCGGCTAAGGGATACTTCGTTCTCGCCAGCATTGACGCTCACAGGGGACGCTCGGCTTCGAGAAATTGGCTTCTAAGGAATAAACGTATCTAGCTGATTAAAGTTCCCTTCTATTCCTGTAACCAAATTGCTCAAGTAAATTCTCCCCCGGGATGTTCGCCCTCGGAAGATTCACTATCGGACTGTTATTCTCCTTCCTCCCCTAACAAATCCTCGCTAAAGTACTTTAATGTACCCCTAAAGAGGATCCTTTACGTAGCCGATATTAAAATGCCCTTCTATTACTGTAACCAAATTGCCCAAGTCAACTTTTCCCCGGAATGATCGTCTTCGGAAGATTCGCTCTCGGGAAGTTCTTCTCCTCTGGAAGTTTCTTGCTAGGCTTCTGGAAGGTCTCCAATATGCCCCGTGTCTGCCATGATAGAGATTTTTGATGGGATTTGTCACGAAGTTGGTAATGTGTTCTGTAAACTGTAAACCAAAGGTTATAAAATTATAAGTGAAATCATTTATGCTATGCTTCGTTAACTCTCGCATCAGGAAATTGCTCTAAGGAAATTCTCCCGCAAGAATGTGAGAAAAGTTCGCCCGGGTGACACATATTTCAATTTTCCCATGAAATGGGATTTTATGTATCAATAGGTTGGTAGTGTGGTACTTGTATAACTTCGAAAGTTGGCAATGTGATATGACATTACCCTTACAGGTCCGGTGAAAGAATTGGCCCGTGGTATTCCCTACCTGTCGTGAAAGGTGACTAAAATGGTACCGAATTGTTCCCGGAATAAGGAATCAACGCCCGTCAAGTGCCAACGAATTCATGGCGAAAGGGCGGTTGGGAGGCGAGTATCCTCTTGTTCTTGTAAAGAAAAATCTCTCAAAAGGTGGATGAACGACTAAAATTAACGACATGGAATGCCGAAGGCAACCGGAAACCACTGGATTGAAAATCTATTGATATCCCAAGCTGACGGTGAAAAAAAAGTGGAGGATAATTTTTTACCCCAATCCAATACCTCCCTTATTAACGTGCGGGTGGTAAAAAGGAAAAAAAAGAGATATGTTAAGGGATCGTAGCTCCTAACAAAGACTTTCGGGTTGTTTATTTGGAAAAAAATTCATGTTTTACTTTACGTACTCATATAATTTCCACGACACTTTATCTTTTGATAATTTTCTTTTTCTAGGAAGCTCAAATATGTGCAGTACATACATCCACAACAAATATTACAATCAAGTACCGAAGAGTTATTGCCCTCTAGAGATTGGCGGAGTAAATATGTAAGCCCCCTTTGCAAATACACAGTCACACAGAGCTCTTCGTCAATCGTTCTTCTTAATTTCTTTGTTCATTGTACCATAACATTTCCTTACCTATAATGCAATCTATATTACTTTACAAGACTGCAAGTAGGGAATGCAATACCGGGATCCCGCAGCATTTTTCCGGGATTAATCCCGCACATTTGGATTTGCGGGACTGAGGAATTTGAGGAAACACATAACGGAGAAGCTATTTTTTAAATAATTGTTAAACTTTTTTCGTTAAAAATGTACTATGATTTTTGAGGCACTTTAGAAGTTCACCTTTTTGTGCTTTACAGGTGATTTTTTGAGTTCTAGGATCCCGCGGGATTAACATCTAACAATCCCGCAAATACCGGGATTGAGATTTTGCTGCGGGATTGCATTCCCTAACTGCAAGGAACAAGGGAATTCGTGTACTGCTGTCTATTTTTCGCACAATTTCCAGCATTATCTTTATGTTTGTTATTTGCGTGATCTTGACATAAAAATAGCGGTCTTGTTGGCAATTAAAATATAACTACCTGGTTCGAAGAACTTATTTTTCTGGATTATTAATACAAGATTAAATATTATCAACCTTTCCTGTGCAATGTAGCATTGCAGTTCGGGTGACACTGTATAGAACCAGACGAAATCTGTATGAGTGCTGTAGTTGATTACAAAACAAGTATCTTTTGTATTGACTGTTTCCTGTGCTAAAGCAACCGCAGCATGTGAATCAGGTACACTGAAACAAAAATGTTTTCAGCAGAACTGGTTTTGCAATTCAAACAATCTCTACCGATACGCTATTTTAGTTTTGGTATTGTGAATTCTTTTATCTACTGGTCTTGAAAATACTACCAAGGAGGACGTTTCAGCCGTGGCATAGTGTTAGAATTCTTACACTACATTGATGAATTACATTGCTCATCAGGGATTCAATGAGCAAAATTGTATATACATATCACAGAGGGCTATGCATTTACACCTGTAAGTTTTTTGATTGTTAAGGTTAAAATAAAAAAAAAGGATATGTTGGATCGCAAAACCTAACAAAGACTTCCGGGTAGTTTATTTGGAAAACATGTTCATATTTCAATTTTATTTGAGCGCTCCTGTAGTCTCTATGACTCTAGACTTTTTATTTTTCCATAATTTTCTTTTACTAAGAAGTTCAAATATGCACAGTGCGGACATTTATATCAAATATTACAATCAAGCAGGGTAATGTATTGCACTCTAAACATTGACGTAGTAAATATGTACACCCTTGACCCTATTTCATATTTGCAAATATACAGTTACACAGAGCTTTTTGCTTTCCGCTCTTCTCCATTTCATTTTTCATAGTACCGTAACATTTCCTTGCCTATAATACAATTTGGTAATACCATAGACCTTTACTTTGCAAGACCACAAGGGACTGGAGGATTAGTGTACTGCCGTCTATGCTATGTCGCGCAATTACCATCCGTATCGTTATCTTTGTTATTTATGTCATATTGAGGTAAACAGCGTTTTGCTTGTCATGAAATAAAACTATATTACCTACCCGGTTCGCGGAACTTATAAATATAATATACATATTTGTGAAATTTCAGTTCAGGTGACACTGTATAAAAACATCGAAAATTTGTACGGGTGGTGTAGTTGAGCACAAGACATTAGAAGAGATGTTGAAAATGGTACTTGCACTTGTATCTTTTGTGTTGGTTGTTTCCTGTGCCACAGCAAGCGCAGCATCAAAATCAGGTAAACTGTATATCATAGCCCGTTGAAACTAAACAAAAATATTTTCAGCAGAGCTCGCTTTGCAAACCAAACAATTGCTGCCTCTAGGCAATTTAATTTCTGGTATTTTGGGGTGTTTATTTAACGGTCTTCAGAATATCACCCAAACCGACGTGTCATCCGTGGTAGGAGAACTGGGAGAAATTTTGTTCGAGATAGGACTTTGTACCAATTTTAACTTAAGCGACCCGGGACAATTGGTAGCGACAATAGGATGTCTTTTGGATAACGCCGCAAGTATAACTGGAAGTCAACTTGTCGACATCGTGCGGGCACTACAAGGAATCATATTAAAGACTAATGGCATAGTTGTATGTTTAAGGGAACTTGGCAGGAGCCTATGTGGATGCACGCTAATTCCATTGTTATGCGACCTTGCAGGCTCTAACATTTTACTCGGTCTGATTAACCTTTTGCTAAATTCTATTCTTTTTCAACTTGTTTGCGGTATAATTACTGGTTAGTTAACATTAGTTTATAAATTCTATCTAAGGATCTAATTAGATGTTAAAATTTCTTATAGGTGGTGGATTTTAGTCTCGTATATTAAATGTAGCTAGTTCTGAACTTAACTTTTACTTCTCAAAATCTGAAGTGAGCGAGTCCGCGAGCGAAGTGGTGTTTTTCAATTTGTGACTAAACTGCTACATTCGAAGTAACAGTTGTGAAAAAATGAACAACTTTTCTATCTTACGCTGTTTTCACATAACCTTCAAATTTTTCGAGAAAATCTGACGAAACTGGTCTTTTCGTTTTCTATCTTTATGTGCGCGAAAAAAAAGGCCGTATAGGTCTGAATCTTCAATTGGACCCGTAAAGCTGATCCGTTTCCGAGATATTCACGATTTTCGAAAAAAACAACTGATTCAGGGGGATCAAAAATCTATTTTTTTCATCGTACAAAAAAAATAAAAATGCCAAATTTTGTGGATGCGAACACTGAAATAAAAGCGTTATAGGTATCAAATCTTGCTATGTAATGAATAAAACATATTAATGAATGTAGTCAGCAAGGTATATAATGGCGTTTGAACCCTCCCATGGCTCCTCATTTTGGAGATTTTTAGGAGGCAAGGGTAAAGAATGTTAAACGCCGTCTTAAGTCATAGTAATACGTGAAGCCTCATTTAACTTTTAATAATTGTTTACGGTGTTGACACAAATTGAATCCTCGACGTTTAAGTATCCTACACTAAAATCCTAACGAACCAGAATGTTTAACTTCAGCCCATTTTTTAATCGGACGAACATTCTACAGCTAAGAATTAACAAATTTCCAAAGAATTCGTCAACTGATCAACACTTTTGGCGCCGCTGGTCGACTGAATATGTTACTCAGCGGCAGCAGCGTCCAAAATGGAAATCTTCTAATTGGAGACACCATTCTTGTGAGAGAAGCTAACTTACCTCTCGTTAAATGGTTGCTCGGACGCGTTATTCATCTACATCCTGGAGCCGACGGTTTGGTACGAGTGGTGACCATCAAGTGCAAGAATTGGGTTTTAATTCCAGCACTCGATCACAAATTTATGCTTACTTCCAAGAGAAGATCCCATAAAGGAAGAGGAAAAGGGAGTGTGAGTGACAAACAGTCAAGCGGTTATATTATGTTTTTAGTATGTTTGAAGGTTTATATTAAATTTACATTTATGCGTTGTGCCTTCGGTATAGATAATGTTTGTTAATTAATTGTTATTGGTCACAGTCTCGGTCACAGTTAAATTAAAATCTGTGTGGATTTTAAGACGGAAGCAGATCCATTGTCCATATTCAAATTATTGTGATGTACCTACATTTGTTGAAGTTAAATGCGGTTTTATATGAGCGCATGTCTTGCAATGACCAGAACATGGGAAGATGTCATTGAATAAAGTTGGTTAGCGAATAAACAATTACCTATTTATTTAACCTTCCTAACAAAAATTGCAACAATTAATTATATCACTTCTGGTAAAGTGATCGATTGTATTTATAAAGCTCGTTACTCGACCTCTTAAACGACCCCTTTTTACTGAATATTACTTTAGTTCTTCATAGTCGTCAACTCAAGATGAATACGAAACGGTCAAATGAGATGCAAAGGAGCAAATAAGCTAAATGTGTGAACTTACTCGTATTTACCCCTGTACTATTGATATTGCTTACTTCGCACTGGACTTCTTGATTATTGAAGCAGATCTTAGTTTATATGGTATCACATTTTTTTATGCATATTGCACACTTTAAATTTGTGATTGTTATTTATTTATTTATTTCAATTTCAATTCTCCACAGGACAAGCCCAATTACGGAGAACACAAAGTGACATACTCAAACTTAAACTTACTAATATCGTTATACCTACATCAACTAAATTAACTTAATCTTAAAAAAAAAGAAATAAAAACAAAAAAAAAGCACGCGCATAAAGGAAAACTGAACCTTACATTTATCAAAAATTACACCCATGCCGCACTACTCGAACTGCACTGTCTCATTATTTCTACCATGTTGGTAAGACCGTCAATATGGATATCGCACATTTGGCCGATTTCGTTAAAGTTAGAGCAGATGTTGTACACTGGGGATACAAGAGAAAAGCACAAGATTCTGCCGATGAAGCATTGCCATGCCTTCTTTGAAAAATCTCCCTATTATATGGGAACTAAGTTATTTAATTTACTTCCATTAAATATTACGAGAAGTGGAATACAAAAATTTAAGAAACTAGTCAAGTGTTCCTTACAAAAGAGGGCATTTTACAGCATTAAAGAATTTATACAAGAGTCCCATAACTCATTTGATCCTATTTAAACTATTTAATCTGTGATATGTATTGTACCTGACGCTTCTATAATTGTAAAACAATTGTTAAAGAAATAGATATTATTATTATTATTATGGTCGGTGTTTCTTGTGAGAACTCAGTTCTAGCCTGGTTAACTAATCGCACGGATTAAAATCAAGTAACGATTAGTGTCTGTGTCTGGTGAAGTTATGTAGGGTTCTAAAGAAAAATAAAAAATAAAAATAAAATAAATATTCACACACTCACATTGGAAATCTAGAGATAGTATGTAATTCATACTTACCAACATAGCTATTAATGGCCCCAATAGTCAACGCTATCAGGAAAGAAAGAAAACAAAACAAAACAAAACAAAAATATCATTATAATAATTCCTGTAATTTTATTAAATAGACTTTATTGTGTAAGTGTTTCTTTGGCTTTGCGTTTGGGTTGAATACGAGTGGGTTGTGATAACGTGGTGTGTTTATGTGAAGAAGGAGTTTTGTGTTTTTTAATTGTATTTATGGTGTTTCTTTGTTCCTGAGGTCGTATTTGTGAGGTTGTTTGGGTTTTTGGTGGAGATATTGTAGTATTTTGTGAGCCTGTGGTGCTGTTAAGGTTTTTGCGCTTCGGTTGTATACGAGTGGGTTGTGACAATGTGGTGTGTTTCTGTGAAGAAGGAGTTATGTGTTTTTTAAGTGTGCTAGGGCGTGTAACTTTATTGGGTGGACCTGTCTTTGTAGTGCATGTTGCGTTACTTGTATTTATGGTGTTTATTTGTTCTTGACGTTGTATTTGTGTGGTTGCTTGGGTTTTTGGTGGAGATATTACAGTATGTTGTGAGCATGTAGTTCTGTTAAGGTTTTCGCGTTTCGGTTGAATACGAGTTGGTTGTGATAATGTGGTGTGTTTCTGTGAAGAAGGAGTTATGTGTTTTTTAACTGTGCCAGGACGTGTAACTTTATTGGGTGGACCTGTCTTTGTAGTGCAAGTTGCGTTACTTGTATTTGTGGTGTTTCTTTGTTCTGGAGGTTGTATTTGTGTGGTTGCTTGGGTTTTTGGTGGAGATATTGCAGTATTTTGTGAGCTAGTAGTGCTGTCAAGGTTTTTGCGTTTGGGTTGTATACGAGTGGGTTGTTTCTGAGAAGAAGGAGTATTGCGTTTTTTAACTGTGCTAGGACGTGTAACTTTATTGGGTGGACCTGTCTTTGTAGTGCATGTTGCGTTACTTGTATTTATGGTGTTTCTTTGTTCTTGAGGTTGTATTTGTGTGGTTGCTTGGGTTATTATTATTATTATTATTATTATTATTATTATTATTATTATTTTTAAGAACGTTCGTCTTGCTGGTATTTAAGTAGAACAAGTTCTTTTCACGAGCATTTAATCTAGGGACCCGGAAAGCTAGGGCAGTTAAAAGGGAACTACAATCTATTTCATTGTTTAATAGGTGACGTAAGAACGCAATCGAGGCACAATTTCGTCTGAACTGCAATGAATCAAATTCGAAAATTTGAAGCAAACGCAAATGATTAAATCCTATTGCTGGATAATGCCCAAAAACTTTATAATGTATATATTTTAAATACTTGCGCTGCACGTTCGTCTTGCTGGTATTTAAGTAGAACAAGTTCTTTTCACGAGCATTTAATCTAGGGACCCGGAAAGCTAGGGCAGTTAAAAGGGAACTACAATCTATTTCATTGTTTAATAGGTGACGTAAGAACGCAATCGAGGCACAATTTCGTCTGAACTGCAATGAATCAAATTCGAAAATTTGAAGCAAACGCAAATGATTAAATCCTATTGCTGGATAATGCCCAAAAACTTTATAATGTATATATTTTAAATACTTGCGCTGCACAGCTTCGATATGCTGAATATGTTTTTGATAAATTGGAGACCAAACAACGCTCGCATACTCCAATTTACATCGAATAAACACGAAATACAACACACGTAAACATCTCACATCGTTAAAGTGCTTCCAGTTCCTAATACAATAACCTAGAGGATACTATATGATTTACATGATCGTTGAACGTTAGTTCAATATCATACACAACACCTAAATCTTTGAAGGTATTACATCTTTCTAAGTTGATGTTGTTTAATGTATAATCATATAGAATAGGAGCGAGATTGCGATAGAAAGACATAGTCTTACATTTCTTAACATTTAAATTTAAATGGTAGTATTGCACCAAAGATTTAACCTGTTTACCGCATTCTGCAATTCCAAACAATCGTTCTTTCGTAACAACTGAATAGATCTTCAAGTCGTCAGCGTATAGTAGATGAGGCATCTTCAGAGAGCGAGACAAATCATTTATATATATAATAAACAGTAAGGGGCCTAGATTAGACCCCTGGGGTACTCCTGAGCTCGCAGTAAACGTCTTCGACTTGAAACCTCCATATGAGACAAAAAGCGATCGATTGCGAAGATACGATTCCATCAACAGTAGTAGCGGCTGGGAAATTCCCAACGCGTCTAGTTTTGACAATAGTAAGCTATGGTCTATTTGGTCGAAAGCCTTTTGAATATATTTACACAGTTCTTTTTTGGGACTTCTGTATGAATACAATTGACTATTATTATCATTAGTTTTTCGAAAAACTTTGCAAGAGATTCTCTAAACCACTTAAGACATTCAAAGAGAAATCATTTATGCTACGCTTCGTGAACCCTCTCATCAGGAACTTGCTGTAATAGACCGGGAGGCAGCGTACATAGTAACTAAACCATAACCGACAAAATATTTGACAATACAGGCTGAAAGTACGTACGTAATAA